GTGCACCTGGCAAACCAAGACGCCTAGGGTATCGGGTTTAGGGGTTTAGGGTTTCGGGTTAAGGGGTTTAGGGTTTAGGGGCTTAGGGTCTAGGGTGACACAAATCCTGCCTTACCCATAATCAGGAACGCACCATGATTTCCATAGTTTAGGGTGCTTAAGGTAATGCAGGATTAATGTAGGGGCTGAAAAAATTACCAATAATATTGTGAGGGATTCCTTTTTCTAATTAGAGTATAATGGGCCCCAAAACCCTATTCTAATTATTAAGGCTCCTATATCAATGACATAGTGATTACTAATAACTTAATAACAATAGTCACAATACTGAAATTATTAGTGCTTCTTTTCAATCTCAGCTTCCTGTGATGTGCCTCAAGGTATGTAATAATCAGAAGCATAAGAACAATAATGACAACAATGGTAACAATAACAACAATGACAATATCCAGACGACTACTAATCATAATGACAATAGCAGTGGTAATTATACGAATAACAACAACAATAAAATCAAAATGACAACTCTGGCAACAATGGTGAGAGTAGAATAAGCCTTATACGTGTCATATGAAGTATACTAGTAGCAACAGAGATATACAACATAGTAACGATCATAGTGCCCGGGCTCAGCTTTTAGGGCTTTGTCTCTCATACCGATACTTAGAGGATCATGAAACTTAGTAAGTAGGATTGTAATTAGGGTAACTATACTTATAACCCCAATTAAGGGACTTATACCCTTATTTACTAAGTCCCATGATCCTCCAAGTAGTCCTTTTATACCCCTTATGTACAGGTAGTCTCCATATTAACCCCAATAACCTACAAGGGTCCCTATTATTGGTTCCTCCTAAAGCCCTTAGAGAGAAGCTTCATGTTCAGTGGTTTGCTTGCGTCCGGAGCACCGGAGGTTCGGCAACACCTTGGGCGACTGCCGTCGATCAATCCCGCTACCAGGACCTTGATCCTGACAGGCGCAGAGAGTGTAATATTTGGGGGGGGGGCCACAATAATTACCTGCATATTTTGGGAGCTCCCTATTTATATTTATAGTATCACATACCGCAAAACACTATTCTAGTTGTTAAGGCCTCTATATTAGCAAGGCAGCGAGGGCCTTGCAAAGAGCCGTCTTGTGCCAGGCTACCCCAACGTCGGCAAGTCTTCGTTCATGAACATAGTCACCAATGCAAACGTGGACGTGCAGCCGTGCCCCCTTCGAGTAGCAGTCGCTTGCAGAACCCAGTATCGGTGCCCCGTGCAATGGCAGGTACGCCTTCACTACGAAGTCTCTGTTCATAGGGCACCTGGACCACAACTATGTCAAGTGGCAGGCGTTTCCGTGGGATCTGGTAAGTGTTCAGAGACCTGTCGCCTAATGAGCTCGTGGCACCCTAGACAGGATTTTGAAGCAATTTGAGGCACCTCCGCGTGCTGACCGGCTTGCCTGTCTTCCTGGAACTGGAAACTGAACCCTGCACCCCACTTCCCAAGATGGAAACATTTAGTCAGTGAGGTCTCGCAGTCTGCATCTCACATCATGTAGGGGTTGGACGAGTGAACGGACCTCTCGCAGAGCATTCGTCGCCGAGAGCTTCTGACTTTGGGCAGCCCTACTTAGAGGATGACAAGACTTAGTAAGTAGCTTTGAAGTGGAATTATAAGTACCCTCCTCAGGGCTACCCCCACTCACAACTCTACTTAAAACCTACCTACCTGGCAAGTCTCCTGATCGGAGCAGGTCATCGACACACCTGGCATTCTCGATCACCCGCTCGAGGCAAGACGACAGCCGTTGCACCGGGCATAGTATAGGATGCCGAATTTAGGGGGTCGTACTTTCTAGACAAGCATCTGAGACTGGCACATGAGCCCTACGGCGAAGTTGTATGATGCTATGAACTGTATTTTCCTTTGCTTTTGGCAAGGGGAGAATCGCAGCAGCATGGAACCAGAAAGAGTCACCACTTCGACCACGAAGATTTGAAGTGTTGTCGACAGACGAGCCTCGTGAACCCCACAACTCTGAACGACTCTAAACTCAATGTCTTGCTGAAGTGTCGACGGGTAGATGAATCGATTGCGGTTTTGACGGCAAGAAAGCTTTGCCAACAAAAGCCATATGCGTTGTCATCCGCACCATCATCACAACCCTAAACGATGAACCGCTAACTCTCACCCCTTATGCTCAAACCCAAAGCGACCTTCTTCAGTTGTGAAGATGCGCAGGACCGCAACAGCATCGAGATGACAGCAATCACGGCATTGGCACATCTCCCTGCGGCAGATGACTCAGACACTGACCGTGGCGGTGGTTAGCTTGGACGCAGGATGTATGAGACTCTAGAAATTGAAAGCTTGTTTAGCCCTTTGTGAATCTCTTTGCCCATACGGCGTTTTTACAGGGTCTCCGAGTCAGGTTTGGATCAGCTTTGTAAGCACGAAGTCGCAACTGCATGGACTGTGCAGCTGATGATGCTCACTATAAATGGCTATGAGGGACACAAACGGGTCTCCGCAGCAGCGGTTGCAGAAGCAGTGCGATAGAAATATTATAGGGGCCCAAATAATTACCAATACTGTTGTGGGTGCTTCCTTATTATAACTAGAGTATAATACGCCCAAAAACCCTATTCTAATTATTAAGGCCCCTACCTTAGTTGCAGTAATAGGAAAAACTCTGCCTGGAGTAGCTGCGAGAGTCGCCATTCTGCCCGACAAATCACAGGGCATAATACTGCAGAAGCCCAAAAAGTTATCAGGTTTCCTTATGATGTCTAAACTACGTAGAACATACTATACACCCAAACTGTGTTCTCATCACTAAGGCCCCTTTATACTCCATGACGGTCTATTGCAGCGTGCAGCGTGGAAGTGATTGTGCGAAACAAACTGGTGCCTCCTCTATCTCTTCGTCTCCGAAAAATCGAGCCTGCAGCGCGCTGAAGCATCTTCCAGCAGTCTTATAGTACACCTAGGTGGCACAATGGGAAGACCTATTCATAGATACTTTCAGAACCCCAACACTACAACCCAGACCCGTATAGTTACTATAGGGGTCTGGGTTGTAGTTTTGGGGTTATTGAAAGTATCTAAGCCTTTGTAGTACCCCGAACTGCGAGGCCATTCTCTTCTTCGTGGATGTTTCGGAGCACTGTGGCTTCAACTTAGCGACACAGGCCTGGCCGCACTTCCATCCCAGAACCTCTGCAAGATAGGGTTTAGGATTTCGCGCCTAGGGTCTAGAGATTATAGCTTCAGGATTCTATAGGGAGCGTATATGTGGTGTTTTGGGTGTTTAGGACCATACAAAACGCAATGGCTGCACAAGATAGAAACGCATTACACCCTAAACCCGAACCCTCCTTGCAGACTGGCTGAGGATTCGGGGAGGCTATAAGCTCACCCCTGGAGGATCCCAAAATTGAGCCCGCCCAAAAAGATCGTGTCTCGATGTCGGACTCTTCCTGATCACGGTGCTGGGCTTTAGGGTACGTAGTACGGAGTAGACTTCATTCTCTCGGGCGACTTCCCACTTAACCCGAGCCTGTGGTGCACTCGGGATTCTTTGTTGGACCCCAGTTCCGAAACTCTAAGCCTTTGTTGGTCGAGCGAAGCCCTAAACCCCTTAACCCTAAACCCCAACCCCTCCAGACCCTAAACCCTAAGCCCTAAACCCCAACCCTGAACCCTAAACCCCAAACCCAACCCGTCAGGTCGCGCTGTTTCACTCCATCAAGCCGCTCTTCCGGAATCGGCCGCTGCTGATCATCCTCAACAAGCCCGCAGCTCGGGGAATTTTTCTAACGTAGGGGCCTGAAGAGTTACCCCTACCACTTTGGGCTCCCTTATTCTACCCCTAGTCTAGTTATTTGAGGCCCCTATGTTGGGGTTTAGGGTTTTAAGGCCTAGTGTTTAGGGTGCTCTAGGGGTCCTTTCATAAGGGTGGGGCCAGGGTTCTATTGTCACAGCATATAATTTTGTGGGGATCGGAGCAATGTCGTAAGATTTATAATTCCTTACGGTTCCCTGCTGTATCACTCCAGAGTCCCACTCTGACTTATTATTATTATTATTATTATTATGATTATCATCATTATTATTAGTAGTATTATCATGATTATGGTTGTTATTATTCTTATCATTATTATTGTTATTGTATTGTTACTGCTGCTATTGGTTCTAGCAGTACTATTATTCCTTTTTAGGCCACCGCATTGCAGCGGTTTGGCCAAGCTTTGGGTTTTTTGGTTTTGGGCGAAGGAACTCCGAATGAACTCTGATTGATGGGACGTACAAGGCGTTGACATTGTTTTTCCCGGAGAGCCCAATACTCCTTAATTAAGGAATATACCTTAAATTATAGGGGCCTTAATATTATGATTTAAGCTATATTCCTTAATTAAGGGGTATTGGGCTCTCTGGGTTGTGCAAAGGCGTCACGGGGCTTTGTAATGGTGTAAATTTACTGAGCTTGGGGTTTAGGTTTAGGCTTTCCCGCATCGAAAATATCTCTGCTTCTGAGAGGGGCCTTAACCTTAAACCTTAAAACCAGAAATGGAATCTCCCTTCCGTCCGGCTAAGGATTTTGAGGGGCCCTAAGCTCTAAGCCCCGCAACCAAGCACTATACCTCAAGGCAAAGGTCAAGTGCTCAGTTCAGGGGATCTTGCTCCACCCGAAGGTCCTGCAGTATATTCCTGTCCTAACTTATAAGAGTTTAGGGATTTAGGGTTGAGGGTTTAGGGTTTAGGGTTTTATACTGTATTGCATGATATGATAGTGTATTATAGAATATTATGTGATCGAATCCTGCCTACAGGACGGACTTGCGCAAGATCTCTGAGCTCTCTGCCGAGGCTACTTGGCAATGAATGGTGGACACATGGAGCCCAATACCACAAAACCCTAACCCCTAAACCCTAGACCGTACAGAATGTTTAGGTTTGAGGTTAAAGTCTTTGGAGCTTACAGCTTCACGGTTGAGGATGGGCTCGGAGCCCCGAAAGGGCCATATTTTGCAAGAACTCCTGGCTAGGCAGCTTCGCATAGACGGGGTGGACGTCGTTCCCGCTCGTTGCTTCGTCACTTTGCACACCGAGAGGTATATGAATCGACGAACAGCTTCTAGAACCCTAATTGATAGACCCTGCTTGATGAAGGGCTTCGGAATATCTTATTGTAAGCCCTATTTAGGAAAGAGGATTTAAGCACCGGCGGTTTGCAAGCAAGCGCTGGACCCTGCAACCACGAACCCTCATAACAGAAGCAGAGGTCCCTCAGATATTTGCCAAGGAAACACCTCATCCCCTCTGGAATACAGAGGTAGGTTCAGGAGACTTAGGGCCTTAGGGGTTAGGGTTTAGGATCCGGGTTCAGTGAGGAGTTTATGAGTAGGGTGATACTTAGGCAGCAAGTAAGTAAGTAGAACGATAAGTAGGACCACAGCCCCGACTCGACAATTATGCCTGACGTCCCTCAGAGTCTTGCCTATTTTCTTCCCCTAAACCCTCAACATCTAAACCCGAAACCCAAACCCCTAAACCCCTAAGCCCTAAAACCCTAAACCTCAGCCCGAACCCTAAACCTTTAACCCCTAAACCTCACGAAGCGAGTTGACGTGCGCATCAGGAAAAGCAGCTGCTCGACTCCATGCAAGAGGCTTCCTTGCTCTTGCTGCGGATGATCATATGAAAACAGATTGTATTATGATACGGTTGATGATAGAAAATCCTGCACTACCCATAGCAAGAAATACACCCTAATTCCCATAGCTTAGGGTCCTTAAGGTAATGCAGGATTCATATCATCAACAGTATTATACTAGATGATACCATATCATAATGCATTGTAACATTATGTTTCTACACGGTGTTCTGCGGTTTTTGTCGGGGGGTGGGGGTATGTATAGAGTTTATGCAGCTCAAGCCAAAAATCCAATACCTTCGAACATTCAAGGTTTTGCGGGATTTTGCCATGGACAGAATCTGAGCTCGTGATTTTTTACTATAGCATACCCGATTACAAAAACTGTTAACGCCCCCTTTTCAAGCGTTTACAAAACCATGAAACTTTAATTTAAACCCCTAAAGCTTACACTCTAGTCGGAGGAGGCAAGAAGGAGCGCAGACAGAAAACGAAACTTGGGACCTCAACCCCAAACTGACTAATTATTTAATATTTAATTCATTCTCCAGTGGACTCCAGTGTGGCAACCTCCATGCCCTAAACCCTAAAACTCCCCACCCGAAAGGCTTAACCCCAACCCTAAACCAAACCCTGCGTGGTGCATTGCAGCGGCAGGTTGAAGCCGGAACGCAGGCGGGCTTTCGTGGTGCCGGTTCTGTGTTTTGGGTTGCTGTAAGATCATTATATGGTTTGGGTGAGTATGTCAGTGTAATCATCATGGGAACTGTCAGGAACAAGACTGGTAATTTACTCAGGCTTTTGTATTCAGGGCTACTACCTGAGTCCCATGAAGGCTCTGCAAAGTTAAGGATTCGGCGTTGTGATAAGGGTTACTATAGTAAGGCTTCCGCGTGTTCCTGCCGTTCTCAGAGAAGCACCAGCAGATCTCGTGCTTACCTTGGGTGGCTGCTGCAGATCTTTCGCTTACCTCTGTTAGCTGCTGAAGCCCCGAATGTCACGGCCGGCATCTTGCGATGCACCAGCCAGTTTCAATGTGTTCAAACCGCAAAGCAAGCGCGGCCTGCAATTTCCTGACCCCCGAGCCCAACAACTAGGTCCTTGTTGGATACAATTTTACATTTTTGTTAGACTAAAACCTAATAAGGATTTAAAATGATCATGTTTAATATAGCTCCAACAGGGAACCAGACAACCCCTGACTCTTCGAATGTCCAGGTCCACTTCTTCGAGACCTCCTGTGCGACGAAGAACGGCGTCGACTCCGCCTTGCAGAAGGCAGGAAGTAATGTAGGGAGTATAGGAGGTTTGCATATTCTGTAGTGTACACCCTCCTTATGTAATGTAGGGAGTATAGGAGGTTGAATATTCTGTAACCTTATGGCCCCTATATATGCTTATACTGTAAAGTGACATAGGTGTCTGGAGAAATGGGTAACAATGGTCCCGTATGGTCGCCATGTGTTTGTTCATAGTATGGTCTGCCCCGACAAAAACCTTTTAAAATTGTTCAGGCCGCTATATTGAAGGGTTGGCATTCACAGGGCCTTGAATCTTCTGACAGGATTTTGCAAGGCTCTGTAGGGTTTGTCTTAGGGTTTGGGAATGGTTTTTTTCTTGATTTACAGTGCCTCATAAGGCTTCTAATCCGTTTGTATCCCGTTGATGTTAAGTTGCTTCCATTACTGGAAAGTGTAGCTATGCTGTGCAAAGATCCCGAAAGATAGCTTTGAAACCTAAACCCTTACTATCAGGACCCCCGCAAGCGATTTGGCATCATTTAAGCTTTAGAACCCTTTGAAGCCCGAAATACTAGGATGCTAACGGACCCTTGTGTTATTTCCTGTGAACCCTGGATGAAACCCCATAAACTGTCTGAAACCCAGAGTTCTTTCAATTCTAGAACCCCCTAAAAAGCCTTTTAAAAAGGAGCCCTGAAGCCTAAACCCTTACCCCCAGCTGAAGCCTGAAAAGGCTCGCACCCCGAACCTTCCCAGCTTCGCCAGGGCTGCGAGCTTCTTCTGGAGCGTCGAGTGGAGCAGAAGGCCCAAGAAAAAGCGGTAACGTAGGGGCCGGGTTTGATAGGTGCTTTGGATATAGGGTTCTACAGAGTTTTGTAAGGCGTCTATCGGATCGTATCAGGATTCTACGGTGCTGCATGGGGTTTTATAGGGGTTCATGGTGTCAAACAGGGTGTTACTTTGTTTGAGAATCACAGATAAAGAAGTCGGAAGCCAAACAAACTCCCCAAAGTGGTTCCTGAGCTTTCCCTGTTCCTGTCAATGGTCAAATGCCTTCGGGAGCAAAGAGAAAACCCAATGCAGATGACTCTTGCTTGGAGGTTCGTGGGTAGTTACAAGTGTGGTTATATGCCCCCTAATATGGATTATAACTATAGCTACCTTACTTCTAACCCCACTTATAACTACCCATGAACCTCCAAGTGCAGCTTGAAGGTACGCACGGGCAAGGCAGACAGCCTCAGGCGCGGGTCTCGGGTTCAGACGACAGCGGCACTTACGTCCTTACTGGGTGCTAGAGGGCAAACGCAGAATCAGGCACGAGGAGGAAAATTGATAAGACAGAAAGGCAGAAGCCCCGGACCAATTGCACATAACCCCAAACCCTATGCACAGGCGGTCAGGGACCCTGAATATGATGCAGGACATATTCCTTAAGGCTTTTGGCGTCTGCGGAAAGCCTGACCACAGATCCTTTCCACACTCAGCGCAGCAAGAAGAAAGAGGCATTTACGAAAATGCGCAAGTAGAGGATCACGGGACCTAAACCTAACATTACATATCCACAGTACGACCTACGTATAATTGCCACTACGGGACAGAGAACCGACCTCACATAAAGCTCATAAAAAAAAACCCACTATCGCCCTAGTTGCTACATCATTGACCACACCGGTAGAACCAGGAATCGCCTTCACATCACGGCGGTGACACCTCCAGCAAGTCGACCGCAGCTGCCTCGTCTCGGGTTTAAGACTCGGCCTAATATAGGGGCCTTAATAATTACCTATGCTATTGGGGGTTCCTTATTGCAATTATAGCATAATGAGCCCCAAAGTCCTATTCTAATAATTAAGGCCCCTACATTAGGCAGGGTTTAGGGTTTGGGTCGCCCAGCTTCGAGTTTTCATATGGGATTTTTCCGGGTTTTTGGGGGATTGTTGTGCGCCAGGGTGACTGTACGGGGACACTATCACTGATTGTTGAGACCTCTATATTCGGTCTTCGGCTTGGGAGATTGCAGAGACAAGTTCGCATCATCATCTTTGAACGATCTTCAGCCCTAAGCTCCTAAACAAGATAGAACCCCAACCCCTAGGTTCTAGCAGAAAAGTGTGAACGTTTTGTTGTTGCCATAAAACAACACGCAAACCAACGGCAGCCTGCTCTTTCCTGGGAGCTGACAGAGCCAACGACGTAACATGCTGCGCTGCTGCAGAAGCGAAGCCCTAAACCCTAAACCCTCAAACCGAAACTCCAAGACGATGCAAAGTTTGCCCAAGGATGACCTAAATCCAGCCTCTCGCAGCTGCCCCTCTCGCGCGGTCCACCGGAAGAGAGCCGTAAAAAGCGTCGGGGCAAATTTTGAACCAGAAACCCTCGGGTTGAGGGTCTCGCGACCGAAGCTTTAGGCCTTTAGGGCTTCGGGACCTTTAAACCCCTAAGCCCTGAACCCCAAAACTTGGGGAACTCGCAACCCCAAGCCCGAATAGCTGAGGCTCTGAACCTCCGAACCCTTAAATTTTCGACCCTAATGTAGGGGCCTTCATAATTTGAATAGGGTTTTGGGGGTATATTATACAAACATTGTACCCAAAATAGTACAGGTAATTATTTAGGCCGCTATATTAGACCCTCATCCCTAAGACCTGGACACCTGACCCTCCCTTCGGGGCCCCTTGCAAAGACCGTAACGATAATCATCATCAGAATAATAAACACACTAGTCTTTTCATAACTACATTAGCGTCTCCCAAAACCCAAATCTGGGCATCAAAGCTCGTAAACCCTAAACCCTAAAACCCTAAACCCTAAACGCTAAAACCCTAAACCCGAAAACCCTAAAACCCGAAACCCCAAACCCTAAACCCTAAAACCCCGCCGTCTATCCCTTGAGGCCCTGCATCCCAGTCTCCGTCCAGCAGAAGCGAGGCGGAGCTGTGCCCGGAGCCTCTGTCTCTTTGGCTTTTACGGGTTTAGAAAGGGCTGTGAGGGTTTAGGGGTTAGGTTCTGGGGTTTAGGGTTTAGGGTTTGCGGTTTTAGAAAGGGCTGTGAGGGTTTAGGGGTTAGGCTTTAGGGTTTAGGGTTTACGGTTTTAGAAAGGGCTGTGAGAGGGTTTGGAGTTAGAAAGATTGGGGGTCGGAAGAATGGTTCACCGTAGAATTCGACCAGAGCCTAGGGTCTAGGATTTTGGGCTTCAGGTTGAGAGTTGAGGATTTGGACTTTAGGATTTCAAGGTGCAGGAATCCTTTTTTGTCCGAGTCGGGGCTTCAGGCTAAGGGTTTTTTTCATTATATATGCCTGTCGGTTTAGGGTTTAGGGTTTAGGGATTTAGGTTGGTTTTCGTCATTGAAGGTGAGAACTGGTGGTCGAAAGCGGAGTGCAATGACCCTGTCCAAGGCCCCCTGCCGATGCCGAGGCTGCCGGCGAATATGGGCCGTTGATGGTTTAGGATTTTAGGGTTTAGGGTTTTAGGGTTTAGGGTTTAGGGTTTAGTGTTTAGGTTTAGGAAGCCATTTTGGCATTTCGAGTGGTGTGCTCGTGGTTTTCCGGTGCTTTCAGGTACGAACCCTCTTTAAGGACCTGTGTGACTCGCGGTTGGTCCTTGAAGTTTCTGAGTTAAAGGCGCCGGTGTGCGAGGAGTCGAGGGTCCTGCGTTGTAGGCCAGGGCCTCCTACTGTAAACGGCCAGAATACTTGCCAACATTCTTCCTGAGGGTTCCTTGATATAGCTATATAAAGGAGGCGAAAGCCTTCTTCCCTTAAGGCCCTGATAACTAGGGCTATTAATAAGCAAAGATGCTTGTGACGGTTCGTACCCCCAGCTAAGGTACCTGTGGCCTTACTTAGCCCCGTGATCCCCCAAACCCTAAACCCCACACCCTAAACCAGGTAGGGATGGGTTTCCTAAGGAGGATCCCTGGGTTCTCGCCATCCGCTTCTTCTGGGGAAGTAAGCGTTGCAAGGTTTGAAGGGTTTAGGACTCTAGGGTTTTAGGGTTTAGGGGTTTAGGGTTTTAGGGTTTAGGGCTTTAGGGTTTTAGGGCTTAGGGGGTGAAGTGGGGAGTATACAGTGAACCCTGACGGATCACCACTTTCAGCTGCAGTTCTCTGGTGGCAGGCGTATCTCAATTGAGAGGAGTAGCTAAGATGTCTCCAGGATTTCCCTCATTATGCCGAATATGAAGCCAGAAGTGAATCGCCCGTAATAGCTATAGGCGGCTTCCTCCAATATACTACCCAATTCTAAGTATTAAGGCCTCTATACTAGAACCCTTATAGAACATAACCCGTATTTCAGATCCCATTAAAGGAACCCTGCCCTAAAAAATATGTAAGTCCCCTAAAGTAGTCCCTTTTTTGGGAGTTCATATATAGAATCCTATAAGGTAATCCCAAAAAGGAACTGCTATGGGGCCTAGGGGTTTTATGCAAAGCCCAGAGACACTTCGAGTCGGTGACAGGGCGGGGAGCAGCTCGAAAGAGAACGCATGGAGGACCCTGGTCCTCCCTGCCCAGACCCTCAGGGTTTAGGGTTTAGGGTTTAAGGGTTTAAGGGTTGTCTAGGACATTTTCAGGTGGGTAGTTACCGCTATAGGAGCCTTATAGAGGGTCTATATACCTTACAGAAGCCTTGATGAAGGTAAGTGGGGTAATCCCCAAATGAGAGTCCTTATATAAGGGATCCTTAATCCTACCTACCCTCATCCCACCTTTTGAGGCCCCCTTTCAAGGGATGCACAAAGTAGGGCTTCCGGCGTTACGGCTTTAGAGGTTTTACATAGTGCTGTTGAGCTTAGGGTTTCGGGCAGATCACTTAGAGGTGCTCCTATCAAGGGTCCTTCAGAAGCCTGGGGTCCCAAATTAGGGGATCCAGGATTTAGATGCTCCCGGTGAACTGGGTGCTTGGCTCCCTCCCTAAATCACATGGCTGCATACTTTCAGGGTTCTGTTAGGGATGATAGTCTATAAGGGATCTAGCATATCTAGCATAGTTAAAGGTTCTCCCGGGAGGGCAACAGGCTGCCAGCGAGACAAGGAGACAGAGACAGAGAGAGAGAGAGAGAGAAAAAAAAACAGAGTCAGAGAGAGGAACACAAGAGCGCAGTAGCAACGTTATTCCTACCTCCTCGAGAACAAGCTGATCGTTCTTCTGTTCTGCCAAGTCTCTTGTCCAACTCCTGAACTCCGTGCTCTCGAATCGAAAAGCCGCCCATGAGGGCAAATGGCTAGTTCTCCACATTAGGGTCCCTTTTTAAGGCCCCAAAGCAGTACGGCACCTTAATAGCAGTGGCTTCAACAAGGACCCTAGTTTAGAAAATTACCCTTATGTCTCATCTGAACGTCTTGCAGAGAGAATCAACGAGAAACAGTGGAGATCTCCTGGCCTTCGTCTACATGCTTCATGGGCCAATTAAGCATCGACCAATGCCTCCATCCTCACGACATGCCCTGAACCGAACGAAGGTTTAAACCTAGACCCAAAGCACCACGAGGCTTTCCCACACATTCATTCCGCAACACTCGCGCAAAAGCTAGTCTAGTTGCTCGAGCAACTCTGCTAGATTTGAGTTGTCAAAGATCTCCCTTATACTCCAAAAATCCGTTGATGTCCGTACTCTTACGCCCAGGGCCCCTGCTTTGCGACAGTCCCCCAGATCCGATTGATTGTTTTCCTACCCCTACACTGGACCCTGCAACTACACAAACCTCAGATACAACCTTGAGACCCCCGTGAAACTCTTTGAAAAAGGTTTGTGGGTTAGGGTGTAGGGACCCCCTGTAACATGATTGTCAAACCTTCGTTAAGCCTAAGCCTCTTCCAAAGCAGCTGCAGGAGCTGGGTGGTGCCGGCGTCTACTCTGTGGATCTGTGGAAGAAGACGATCTTGGAGGCTTTGTTGTGGGATGCATAGGCTTCTTTATGGTCCTAGAGGGCTTGGTATTAAAAACATGGTTCTCATAGGGTTGTAGATATTGTTCATAGCGACTTGTGTATGATGATTCTTTTGAGAGCTCTCTTTGAGCGCCTCACAGGCTTACTGGGCTTTGAACTTGTGTCGGATGGAAGGTCTTTGGTTTGAAGTTTAAAGCGTGACGGTCCAGGGTTTCTGCGCCTTCCACCGTCTTTTTGGACGGTGTCACGAGCTGGCGTTGGGGTTTCTGTCGTCTAGAATTCTGGGCTTCCCAGCTCAAGTACGAGTTCAGAGCTTCGCGTGGGGTCTTTTCAGGAGGCGCAGAGTTCAGATTTCTGAGGCCGCAGAGAGTTCATGAAGCCCTGTCAAAATCTCTTCGGCAAAAGAGTAGGTGACCTTTCCCCTTCTTGGGGTATAGAACACCTAGGTGGCCTTCAGTTCCCCTAGGTTACTGGACAAGCAAGCGTAGGTTCTTCCAGAAGTGCAACAGGATCCCAGCTGGAAGTACGACATGGTGCCTGAGATCATGGATGGCCACAACATTGTTGATTTCGTTGATCCTGCTCAGCCGGCACGCTTGCGATCAGAAAGGAGTGCTTTGATGGAAACATGCAACCATAGACTCAGGTGGGGTTCTTATTTCTAACGTTCAGAGGGTGCTGGAGGGAGTAACTTTGCATTTCTCGATACGCACTCTCCGTAGGTAGACAAGCAGTACAGCGCACTTGCACATGCTTGTTGTCGTCCCAGACTCGACTTGGTAATAACTTAGATGCAGGTATTCTTTAGTGGTAGAACACTATTGGCTCTGACGTCTCATCTTGAGAATTTTACTTCTGCCTTTTTGCACGAGCACTCTGTAGCTGTGAACTGCCACGAAAACCGTGAAACAGAGAAAGATTGCGTTCATCATGACTTGTCAAGTAGCACCCCGCGGTTTGCAGAGGTGAGAGCAGCACCAGCAGCAGCAGAGAGCAGCAGCAGGAGTAGTGGTGGTAGAGGCAGTGGCAGCGCTGGTGGTGGTAGTAGTAGTAGTAGTCGTCGTCGTCGTCGTCGTCGTCGTCAGTAGTAGTTAGTAGTAGTGAGTAGTACTTTGTAGTAGTTAGCAGTAGTTAATAGTTGTTAGTAGTAGTTAGTAGTAGCTAGTAGTCGTTAGTAGTAGTGAGTGGTAGTTAGTGGTAGTTAGTGGTAGTTAGTAGTAATTAGCAGTAGTAGTAGTCGTCGTCGTCGTCGTAGTCGTAGGCGTAGTCGTGGTAGTAGTCGTGGTAATAGTCGTGGTAGTAGTTGTAGTTGTAGTTGTAGTAGTAGTAGTAGTAGTAGTAGTAGTAGTAGCAGGAGTAGTAGTAGGAGTATTAGTAGTAGTAGTAGTAGTAGTAGTAGTGGTAGTAGTAGTAGTAGTAGTAGTAGTAACAGTAGCAGCAGGAGTAGTAGTGGTAGTATCAGTCGTCGTCGTCGTAGTAGCAGCATTCTTAGCAGCAGAAGTAGCAGTAGCAGTAGTAAGTAGCAGCAGCAGAGCAGTAGCAGCAGCAGCAGCAGCAGTAGCAGTAGCAGTAGCAGTAGCAGTAGCAGTAGTAGTAGTAGTAGTAGTAGTAGTAGAAGAAAAAGAAGTAGCACCAGCAATAGTAATAGTGCTGCTATGCAGCCATGACCTCTCGGCTCGGGCTTGGTATTTTTGGCATTGGCAGGACATCGACAAGAAGCTGCAGGAGCTAGAGCGCGAAGAGGACATTCACGGCGCAAGCATGCACTGCTCATGCCAGAAGACTCAAACTGCTGGCCACCACGGCCTTGCATCAAACTCATGACTAAAACCATTTTTCCTGAGAGTCGCCACCCCATCGTCATAATTGTCATCCTGGGAATGGTCCGCACATTTTTCGTCATCGCTGTCATAGCCCTCACAGCCATCATAAGTCATAGTGTGCAGTGCACAAGCTTTCGAACACTCTACGCTTTCCCGATCACAGTTGGACAGATGCTTCTATAGTCAAGCCTTTTTGACATATACTGTACCGTCGCTGCGAGACTGTGATGCATAGTCACTGCCGCGATAGTCATGCACTCCAAGTCGCCGGCGACTTCGCTTCTCTCTGCTTCCTATTATCTGTGTCGCGGACGGTAATTATTGGATTGCTGCAAAGATACTTCAAAGCTCGACATTGACGGTACCATCAATTTGCAGAAACATCGGTGCTTGTCACTCTACTTTTCAACTCAAGGTTGCCATTCACACAGCGTTGTTGACTTGTCCGTTTGTGGGAATGGTAGAGCCAGCTCTTTATGCCGTAAGTCATCGGCTTCACGACATGGCGACAGATGCGAGGCGCTTCTGATGGCAGAGTCGAGCCTCGTCAACGATGATCAGGCTGGGGACGGGATCGCGGGGTACAGGTTATAGTTCTGGCATCACCACGGGCACAGATAGCTTTGATGAGTTCCTACATACATTCAAAGTCGTTTGGGCGTAGAGGGGAGGACGAGTAGTTTCCTAGATGGAAGCTGAAAGAGGCAGTAGCTGCGGCCGTTCGCTGGCTCCGAACAGCGACACAGGTCATTGGCGAGTACCAGAAAGTTCAAAATGTTCTCGACGAAGTCCACAGCAGGACGGGCTTCAGCATGGCAAATGCCGCTTCCTTGTTGGACATGGGGAAGGATTGCTGTACTGTTGTTCGTGTTTCTCAGATCTTGCATCAGCATTGCCACAAGCAGCATATACCATAGTCCGAGTTTTCGCATGATCAAACTCCTACTTATGTTTGGTCCTGTGCAGCCTTACCACTCTAAATCTGCTTTCGAGTAAGCTAGAAATACCGCTCATTCCGCTCTTGGTTCTTATCCTCCGTAGTTTGATGTCGGACATTTCTCACATTTATCTCGGTTCTGACAACCCAGACTTCCAAGCTGCAGTTGTGCTGTCACCTACTAAGGGTACAAGGTCCCTACACTAAAGCCTTATAGAGCCATCATGGCAACCTTTATGGAGCACTTAAAGGAACCCTAAACAAGAACCTAACTCAGATTTAGTCTTAGAGTTGAGGGCTTCGGGCTTATCGTTTGGGCAAGCCCTTCACATGCAATGGGCCTATCGGAACACCCTGAGTAATTTGTAATCCTATTCCATAGGCTTCCTTGATTATAAGTCGAGTATGACATGCCCCCAACGCCTGTTCGAATTATTCACGCGCATATGTCAGCAGAGTTTTTGGAATTCAGCACCTTGAGGTATAGATAGTTGCAATGAGCCCAACACACAAACAACATCCTCAGACCCAAGTGCAAAATCCTAACCGTAAGAGCACTACATGTGCATGTGCATGCGGCCAGAGAGCCAGGATGCGACAGAAACGGATCGAGAGGAAGCTGAACAAGTCCAAGCAGATGCCTCACGGGGGGGGGGGGGGGGGGNNGCCTTGCGTGAGTGCCTTGAAATGTATAGACCTAAATCATTACCGGTACTAGTCCCAAGGGGTCTTGTTATAACATAAATCCTATTGTGATTCCTAAAGCTCCTCGAAGTCACGATTGGAGCAATGCGACACAAGGTCCCAGATCTTGAAACTTCGGCTTCACTCTGGGGAGGCTAAAGATTTCTTGAGGGCTCTGAAGGATCCATATAGGGTTGTATAAGGGCGTGTGTAGGATGCTATAAGTTAGTCAACAAGGGTTTTGGGAGTTTTGGTGTTTGGCGTTTGGAGTTTCTGGGTTTTTGAGCCCTTCTCGGAGCGTGAGACTCTCGGTGAAAAGTTCGGAGATGATGGACAAACAAAGCAAGAGACAGAGCAATAGCAACAGTGTTACTGTCATTACAAGCAGTACTGGTAAGTATGGTACCATTGGCGTCATATCATATGCTAGTCAGACCGAGAGCCGCAAAAGTAACAAGAAGAAGTACAGAAGCTAAGCCCCAAGCCCAGAACCCAAGCCCAACTGACAAACGAAGCAGTTGCAGGAGTAGGAATAGGAGTATAGGAGTATGCACATGCGCACGCGCATGAGTAACTCCCATCACGTCGACGAGGAACGGCCTGCCAACTATGAGGAAAGGCCGCAAGAAGGTGGAAGAGGCCAGCGACCAAGCATGAAAACCCTGTCCCCTTTGGATGTCAGCTCTTTCTGTAGACCCATAAGTGCCGTACCCCCACGATCTCTGCTATAACCCCTAACCCCAAACTTCATAATCGTTACCTTACAACAGGCGGGAGTTTGTGTGCTGGTGGGGCTCTACAGTGGTGGCCTAATCCCTCGACCGCCAAACCTTAAACCCTCTCTTTGCACCCCCGCCCTCTACAGGTGGAAGAAAAGCTTACCGAGATCGGCCTCGATGCCTCCAAGGCCTCAGCATGTCCGTGAAAGACTGTGGTTCTTGTTCAGAAGTTTGGCTTGTCATATAGATCCCTTAAACCAAGTTCCTTTACAAGAACCTGGAGACTGGCTCAGGCTTTAGGGACTTCGGGCTTCAGTGTTTTAGGGGTCAGAGGTCTAGCTAGGGGTCGTGTCTTCTGAGCTTTGTCCTTTGAATTTTGTACCTATGTATGAATTTGAGTGTATGTACAACGAGTACCTTCATGTATGAATGTTTGTCAACCGCCATGCGTGTGTGTGGGGTGCTTGCGTGCGTGTTTGTCTACTCATTCATTGTGCGTCTGCCTTAATATGTACTGGCTTAGTTATATTTGGATTCGTTTTTTCTCAACTAGGTATGTGGGCATATGCATGTGTGCAGACGTAAGCCACACGATATACCGACTCTACGTATGTACATGCAGGCATGCACACCTTATGCACATACATATACGTACATCCTCAAGAAAGAGCTGGAGGAACATCCTTGAAGCTGCGGCTGGGGAAATTTTCACATCATACTGAATAAGGACCAGTGCGAATGGGCATGTTCACCACCAAGGTTGCTTGGCAGTATTGCCGTAATGCATTTGGAAACTGCTTCCACCCTGATTGCTCGAAGTAGCACATGCCGGCTCAAAGTACTGCAGTCAAAGTGTTTAGTGTTTAGGGTTTTAGGGTTTACAGTTTAGGGAATATGTGCTTACGGCCTAATAAAGGATAAAAACGTCCAGAGACTCGGCCTCGCCCCACAGGAGGGCTCAGAAGGAGCACAGAGGCACAGAGGTACATTTTTTTCCCCGCCACAGGTGCGTGGACGCTCTGCTTCGAGAACACGCGCGTCGTCCTTGTTGCGCCCGCAGCCTAAGAAACGGTTGAGTGCATATCTTCAAGGTTTAGGATTTCCGGCTTAGGGTCTAGGACTTGAACTAAAGGGCGACCGATGACTGCTACTGACTGGGTTCGCATAGCGAACCGTGTGCACGTCCACGAAGGCAAGCGCAAGCGAACAGCTTCAGCTGGCGGCGACGAGGAGGCATGGCACCATCAAACCTCAATAGTAGGTAGGGTCTGCTCCACAAGGAAGGGAGATCCATAAGGAAGCCTCACAAAAAGACACCATCCGAAACCGAATGACAAGAGGATATCTCTTTAGGGAATTCCTGTAAAGGAGTTTGGGATAATACAACTACCCACGCCAACAGTGTGAGGAACCTGTATGAAGCCTGACCACCATCCCCAAAAGACACAAAATAATGCTATTGGAGAAACAACTTGTTCGAATGTTCAGGCAATTGATGTATGGATGAAAATCCTTGCATCAGGTCGTGGACATTCCAGCGGCTAGCGAAGCCAGAATCTCACCTTCATGTCTATCCAAACACGCGATTGGACAGACTAAATAATGCACAACGAGTGAGAATACGCAGGCTGCGCCCTGAGCATTGCTTTACGTATAATAATATACTAAGAACATATTTTGTTAGTATATTATGTTAACAAGTCACCAATATTATTGAGATAGCCTGTGTCGTCTCTTATTGGATGACGTTTCTTCTATTCTACTGTGGATAAATGAGGATATCTGGTATCCATATATCTGTCAAATGAATAACCACCTTCAAAATGCACCGTTGTTATTCGTTCTTTAATCCTGAATAAAGTGTCTTTTGACAATTGATTTTCAACTTTGTTATGTTTTCATTGCGTTCAATGTAAGTCATAATCCGATCTATTTTGCGACTATTGCTTTCGTTTGTTTGATTTTCAAAATGAGTAACAAAGCTTATCTTTGTATTATTCTTTCATCTACATTTTTGTCATGTTGATAAATTCTTATGTTTCGTTGTTTGGTGCATTTTTTTCTCGTTACATATAAACGAAGTATCATTTAATCACTCAATATCATTGTAGAATTCATTATTACAACATGTGTCTTCGTGTTTTAACGATCTTTTCAACATTCGTTGAATGATGGTAAAAGTGTAGGGTGGGGGTTAGGGTGTGAGGTGCGGGGTCAGGGCGGTGCTTCGGATTTTGTTTTCTGCTTTGGGGTTTTGGTGTTATGTTGGGAGGTGCTTCGGTTTTGAATTGTATTTGGGATTTCGGTGTGGGGTTTGGTGGGCGGATTGTGTTATGGATTATTGAGTTTGCTTTGGGAGATGCTTTGTGTTTTGGGTTTGTGCTTTGAATTACTGTTTGGATTGCTGGGAGTGCTTTGATTTGTGGTTGTGTTATGGATTATTGTGTTGGTGTTGGGAGATAATGTGGTTTTGGAAGGTTGAATTCTCAGGCGGATTGAGAACTGGAGTGAAAGTGTAGGGGGGAGTATAGGATGTGAGGTGTGGGGTTAGGGCGGTGCTTCGGAGTTTGTTTTGTGTTTGGACGTGCTTTGTGTTTTGGATTGTGTTTGGGCGTTCGGCGTGGGATTTGGTGTTTTGGATTGTATTTGGGAGGTGCTTTGTGCACTGTGGTTTTGGGAGGGCTGATTTGTCAGGCGGATTGAGAAATGGGGTGAAAGTGCAGGGTTTAGGGTTTAGGGTTTTAGGGGGGGGGGGGGTATAGGACTAGGATGTTCATACAGTAAGAAGCCTGGACCCTGACAGGGTGAACGTACGGCTTCAGCCCGTGCTCGCAGCAGGCACTGGGGAAAGCGCGTGTGGGAACTCGGTAGTGTAGTGTTAGGGTTTAGGGTGTCGGGCCTGGGGTTCAGCAAGGGCTTGGGGGTTTTGGGTTTAGGGTCTAGGGCTTCGGGTTTATAGCTTGGGCTTTTGAGTTTAGGGATTCCACATTCGTCCACAAGCTTCTTGTTTACATTGCCTTGTCCCATGTGCTTTAGCCCTGAGACTTCAAGTCCTCTTATGGATATCTCTTCTCCAGTACTGCACAACGCTCACTTGTTCTTGAAATAGCATATACAAGCATAGAGATCCAGGAGTATACCTTAAGTCGGAGTATTCAGGCCTTCATAAGCTAGATGTTCCTTACTTACGCGGTAAGTTGGCTCTCTGAGTCTGGTTGGATACTTCTTTCAAACACCTTGAGCCCTCTAAACACCCCATAGAGCCCTTACAAAGCCCGAAACAAAGCCTAGAATGCGAAGGGGCCTTCTACCTCAAGCCTAGAAGAACGGGCCCTAAATACTGAGTACTACTAGTTCCCTAATTTAGCTTTAATAGAAGATACCCCAAGCCCCTACCCTACTCATCCAAGGCCCCTTTACTGCTTGGAGGATCATGGGACTTAGTAAGTAGTGTTATAAGTCCTTTAATTGGGGTTATAAGTATAGTTACCTTAGTTATAACCCCACTTACTAAGTCCCATGATCCTAAACCCTACACCCTAAACCCTACTTTCTAAGTCCCATGATCCTTTAAGTACTAGGCCCTATACCCTAAACCCTAAACCCCATGATCCTTTAAGTACTACTACTAGACCCTAAACCCTAAACCCTAAGTCCCATGATCCCTTGAGTACCCAGCACCCAGAAAGATGGCCGCCTCGCGCATCTTCCAAGCTGCCAGGAGCAGGATGGGCCTGCCAAATGAGGAGGCGGTGCAGGCAGAGGGCACCTTTGGGTTTAGGGTTTAGGGTTTAGGGGTTGAGAGTTTAGGTTTAGGGTGTAGAGTTTAGGGGTTAGGGGTTGAGGGTTTAGGGGTTTAGGGGTTTAGGGTTTAGGGTTTAGGGTGTAGAGTTTAGGGGCTTCGGGTTTGGGGCACATTTGGAGGGTCATGGGACTTTGTAAGTAAGGTTATAAGAAGCTAAATCAGGGTGATAAGTGGTTATAGATAGGGCTACGCTATTAAACGCCTAAGTTACTGTTGCTCCCTAAAGTTTCAGCGCTCGAAATGTCTGCAGGAAACAGGAAATGTTTCTAATTGTATATGTAGTCTGTACTGGTTTCTTGGGTTTCGTTGGGGCTGACAAGGCTGCAAAAACGGATGACTTCAGGAAATATGAGAAGCCGAAATAGACCTGTAGTTTAGGTCCGTGTTGAAGCGCGATGTTTGAAAAAAAGAGTCCCGCAACTCACCAGAGTCACAAGGGGGCAAAGCTTTGCTAGGGTCACATTAACGTCTAGAACCGTCTTGACAGTCGCTGCAATGAGAGATGTTGGGGATTATGCCCATGTGGTTTCTTTTGATGGAGGAGTGCTTATGTTACGCGTTCTACTATTGAGCGTTCATGACGGTCGCATCCTCAGGTGCCACCAAAAAGCTTATAAAGCCCGTTTGCAACCCTTCCAAAATCTACAGATCCTGTTGAACCTCTTCTCCTTTGAAACTCCCACACAAGGTGACGGAGAAGAGGCGGCGCAAGACCCTGCGGCAGTTCAACAAGCAAGGAAAGAAGGGCGAGGCAAGGGGTTGTAGAGCAGGGGTTTAGGAGTTTTTGGGGCTGGGGAGTCGAAGCGTTTTGGGGCTGAAGGGATTCTAGGTAGGCGTTTGGTTTTCCCTTATAGGGCTTAGCTGGATCTTACCCACGAACACTTTTCAACTCTAAAAGGGCCAACCTAGGATTTAGAGTGTCCCATACTTTTCGTAGTGACTTTCAGAAGGCTTTAGATGGACAGTGGCTTCCAGTGAATTTATCTTTCTCGTCGGGTGTGTAGATTTTACCCTGCCTCT